AATGAATTTCAGTACTAATACCATCAATTTCAAATGTAATGAAATCGTTAGTGTCTGTTATAACAAATGAAGCGATAGTGCTAAAATCAAGAACTCTGAAAGCTAGTGGTTCATTCTGAAGACCAAGGTTAGTTTGTAATTTTAATGTCCCGTAATCATTAGGATCAGTACTTTGCAAATAGAACAACATTTTTATTATTAAAAATATGAGTATATCCGCATATTCTTATGAAGCTGATAGGGCGAAAAGATTAATTTTTGGTTCATACACGTTTTCATTTGATGATGAGCATTTAATAATCACTGATGGAAAAACTGAACATTATATCTCATGGAAAGAATTGAAAAATTCATTCCAATATTAACGCCATGTACAATGCCTTTAAAAGACGGTGAAATTATTGAAAAAGATAACACAACAGTATATAGGTCTGTTTATGAAGCATTAGAATATATGTTGAATTATAATCCCGAAAGATTTGACCCAAGCACTACGCCATGTGCAATGCCCTTTATTAAGGATGGTGAAATCGTAAGGTTCCGAATTCAACGGTTTATACAGCTGTTCAAAACAGTTTACAAAACATTTTAGCGAATATCTTTAATTCAGAAACTACAGAAATAAAATTACCGTATATGCTAAAGAAATTAAATCAAGAATTACAACATTATTTACGTCACTTAATGATTTAATGACTTATATAATTAATACTCCTTCCGACTACGGCATTTGATCCAAATTCGACGGTTTGCAGTGTACCTTTCATTAATGACAGTTCAGTAATTGAATTAAGGGAGTCAGTAGTAAATGAATCATTAAAAGCTTCATTAATGAAAATCATTGATTTTAACTCATTCATGAATACATATAATTCATTCATTAATGTTTCATACACTTCTAAAGAAGGTGAGCCAAAAACTATGATAAAGCGGTGTATGAAATAAAAGCATCAATGACGAAATTGAATTCGTTAACTTTTGACGGTGATAGTTCCGTTAACAGCATGACATCAGGAAAAACGATTTTAACGAAAGAATATTTAAAATCTCATGTTAGTGAGTTCGTTGAAATTGAAAAAGAAGGCGGAATTAAGTTCGATCCACTGGGTTTCATTTTCGACTTAGCGAATGCGGGTGTTAGTTTCGCTGAATGGACAACGATACAGAGTGAATAAATGCAATATGGACGTTTTTGGGGTCAAAAGCGGGAATGGGTGAGCTTGTAGATGCTGCAAGAACATTAGGTGAAACGGGAAATTTTGTAGATGGTTTTAAAAGACTTGTTTCAAATGTTTTAACAAACACAAAGAAATTATTTAGATATACCATACATAACGGACAGATTTTCGAACAGGTAGCAACAAACCCTCCGGTTATGGCTGCGTTGATGATGGCTAGAGACATAAAGCCGCGTAGCGGCGAGGGCGAAGCCCACGAAGAAGAGGAGAAACCAGAGGATACGGGTCAGGTTATTCGAGACATTAAAAACGTGTATCCTGAAGTTATTGATTTATTTAGAGGTGTTAATGATTCGATTTCAAATCATTCTATAACCCTTGATGAAGAGAATAAATTAACAGATTATATATTCGTCATTATTGCAGAACTAATGAAGAGAATAAATGAAAAAGGTATAGCTGATACCATTAATGTAAGTGATGTAATGATGAAAAGAAATTTTGACTCATTATTTACAGAACCGAAAACAGAATATAGTCTTTATGACGTAATTACTGAATTAATGAAAAAGATTAATGATAATAAGAGTTCTGGCGGAAGAGTTGAATTAGAGGTGAATGATGTTAATGAGAAATTAGCCGAAAAGGCAGACAAAAATGATCTTTTAGCTCTGAGTGATAGAGTCAAGAACCATGTTCATTATATAACTTCAGATGAACAGATTATAACGGATTATCATGGATATTTAACACGGGATGAAGAAGTGAAGACGGAAGATGTTAATGAAAGAAGATATAAATTCATTCGTGCTGAAGGTTATGACATACGCTGTACTGTACAGTATGACACGGGTAAAGCACCAGAAGCATTTGGTTATAACGATGAAATTTATGCTTCTAGTTTCTCTGTTAACGGTGTATTAGTTGAACCAAGATTTACATTGAGAGTTAAGGCAAAAATAACTTTTGAAGATGCTATTAAACGTAAAGCAGAGAAAGATGAACTTGACGCAACGAACAAAGTTTTGAAATCTCATAAACACAATATCTCCGATATAAATGAACTTCAAGCTACATTAAATAGTAAAGCTGACAAGAACCATACACATGAATCCTTCACTACTGTTAGAGCAGACTACATAATATTGAACTATACCCTTGGTTCAAGTGCACCTTTAGAGAATCCAAGTACAAGCGTAAAAGATACACTAAACTCCTTAAATAACAAATGTATAAATATCGAAGGTCATGTCAGAAACTTTGAAACATATGAACTACCAGCAATGTTAAATAAAAAAGCAGATAAAGAACATACACATAACTCCTTCTCAACTGTTGCTATAGAAAGTATTGAAGGAACGGTTGGCGGAACTGGTGGGGATGCATTATATTATAAACCTCCTAACTTTCCACAAGGTTTAACATCGAATGAAAACATAACAACGAAGAAAGAAATTAGCTGTAAAAATGTTTATGTCATGGATGATGAAAATAATGTTAAATTCACTGCTCAAGATTTATATGATAAGAAAGCTGACAAAGCAGAGCTTCAAACATTAAAGACTGAAATATTGCAAGCTGTATATCCTGTTGTTTCTTTATATACATCAATGAATTCAACAAATCCCGCAACAGTTCTGGGTTTTGGTACGTGGCAGCAGATTGTAGACAAATTCTTATACTGTGCTAACTCTTCAAATCAAACAGGTGGTTCGAAGAAAATTACTGAAGCAAACTTACCTGCGCACACTCATACAGGAACTACAAACTTTTCTGGCGACCATAGACACTCATTAAGAGATCACCCATTATACAACTCAGAGTATGAAGCTGGCCATGACGTTTTATCTCCATCTTATAACAATTCAGCAAAAAAGACTTTTCGACCAACTGAACCAGGAGGTAATCATGTCCATACTTTCACAACAAATCCAACAGGCTCGGGTGCAGATTATATGCCACCTTATATGACAGTTTATGCATGGGTTAGAACGGACTGAAAGTCCTGAGCTCCAAAAGAGCGAACAGCATGAAATTACTAAATTTATTTTTACATAAATGAGTTTAAAAGAAGTATTCGAATCATCACCGTGGAGGTCATTTAAGAAGTTCAATGAAGCTGCAAAGAATGCGGGATTTAATGATAGAACAGAAATTAAGAGATTTTATGATGAAAATATAGTTCATCAGGTTAAAGTTAATCCTTACGATTATTACCTTCCCATTTACTCGAAAACCCATGATGCATATCAATTTGATACACTCGTTCAGAGTAAGAAAGGAAGAAAGCCACCATTTTTGATTTTCATTAATGTTAATACACGTAAAGCTTTTGCGTATATAATGAAAAATAAAGGAACAAAAGAAGTTTTAAGAGTTTTGCAGACGTTTGTGGCAGAACATCATCCCACTTCATTAACTTCAGACCAGGATTCAGCATACCTCAGTAATGAAATTACAGAATTTTTGATTAAACATAACGTTACTCATTACACGACTGAAGACCATAACCATAATATTTTAGGAATCATTAATCGTTTCATTAGAACGCTAAGAGATTTAAATAAAGAAAGAGATTTTACGGAGGAATCAATGAATAAAGTCATTAATGCGTACAATAAGTCCACCCATAACAGCACAGGATTTAAACCAAACGAAATGACTTCAAAAGAGGAGGATGAATACATAAAACAAAAGAGAATGTTAACGGAGGAAAGAAGAAGTTCATCATTACTGCCAGGAACTAAAGTTAGAATCATTCTTGAACATAAACCACATGAAAAGGTAAGAAATCAGTTAAGTGATGATTATTATATCGTTGATTCCTCACAGGGTAATGGTTATTTAATTAAAGCAGCTGACCATTCGGTTGCGTTTTATCCACGATTTCGATTAGTTGAAAGCGAAAATGGAAGATTAGCTAAGACGGTTGATGAAGCGAAAAGAGGTATAGTTAATAAAATTGTGAGTTATGATGAAGACAAAGATGAATACACTGTCGTTTATGAAGGAGGTGTGGATGATAAATTCCTTCTAGAAATTTGAGAGAATCGAACCCTACACATTTATCGGAACTCGAAAAGGATTACTGGAAGGATAAAAATAAGCCAAAATTAATCAAAAAATTTTTATGAACTAAATATATTTTATGTCTGAAGTTAATTAGTTAATAAAGTAGCGGATGAACTGCAGAAATATATTTTATCGTAAATGGTTAGATCTAACCCGATATCTACCCTCATTTCTACCCTCATGAATTTTCATGAATTTTATATATTAATGTTTTCGTTAAGCCACTTTGTGCCGTCAGTCAGTCAGTTAATGAAATTTACACCAAAAATATATTTTATCGTTAATGGTTTTTAGGTTATTCAATAATTAATTATTTTTGAAGAACTGAAGGTGTCACTACGTCACCATGTGTCACCAGGTTAATTAACTTCTCTTAAAATTACTGACAGCATGACATTTAGACAACTAGCCCGGAAATAAATTTTATCGTTTATGTTTACGTAAATGTTTTCATTAATTATGAAGGTGTCACTACGTCACCATGTGTCACCAGGTTAATTAACTTCTCTTAAAATTACTGACAGCATGACATTTAGACAACTAGCCCGGAAATAAATTTTATCGTTTATGTTTACGTAAATGTTTTCATTAATTATGAAGGTGTCACTACGTCACCATGTGTCACCAGGTTAATTAACTTCTCTTAAAATTACTGACAGCATGACATTTAGACAACTAGCCCGGAAATTTGATGCAGTCCAAAAATAAAGTTAGTTTTAAAATTATTTTTATTTTTTTATTCCTATATAAATGACAGCAACAAACAACAGCAACTATATCGTTTCTGATGAAAAAGTTATTGATTCATTAGCTGAGGAATTAGTTGTGGCAGAAACTAAAACCCTCAACGAAAGAATTGGTGAAAACAAGATTGATTTACATAACTACCTCAAACACGATGGAGGAAGAGGAAGGAAAACTGGTATGGCTTTATTAGTAAATAAAATTTCAAATTTAACGATTATAGATGTTGATATCAATAAATCATACAATGATGAACTTAAAGAAACAGTTAGAAAAGATATTTTATCAAAACTTTCGGATAAAGACGTTATAGTTAAAACCGCTTCAGGAGGTCTTCACATTTATTGCAACACTAATTTCTTCTATGCAGTTTCGAACAGAATGATTAAATGCTATTCCTGCAATGATTATGATATTGACATAATGATTTCTATGGATGATTCAAAGCGTTCTTTAGTAGTTATGGCTGATTCAAGAGTTCGCAAGAATGCAACAGAACCAATCAATACATACTCATTCATTCGTGGAAGTTACGATTCAACATTAACCAGAATAGTGAATGATATATTAAATGATTTGAATATTAAGGTAAGAGTTGAACAGAAGAATGAAGAAATAAAGAATATAATGAATGAAAACAAAGATGTAAACATTGACGATAAACTTGCCCAGAGCATAGTTGATGGTATTAGTGATTTTGAAGTACATTATTCACACTGTTTCAAGCAATTAATTCGTTACCTAATCATTTAATTAATGAAGCATACGATAATGTAATAAACAGAAATTCATCAAAAGTGACAGCTCTCAATTTTTTGACATTTGTAAATTCTAAATTGAATGAGAAAAATGAAATAATACTAAGCATAATACAATATTCTAGATTTAATTATAATTAGGAAAAAGTTAGTTTTGAGAGTACTTTTCATAGGCATATAGAATGAAATCTTCTGAAAAATAATATCACATAAACTCATATTATTTTCTAATATATAACTATTTTATATAAAAATCAAATTCAATGATCTTAAAAGCGAAGGATAAACCTCAAAATTTACGAATATAATGAGTGGGAATATAATGCTTATCTATCATAAAACCATATGAAATATCAATTTTATTTTTCATATTCAAATGGACTGAGTGTTAACATTTAACATTTTTTGCTAATTGTCGTCAAAAATTAGTCGTAAAGCAAAAATTGATATTTCATATGGTTTTATGATAGATAAGCATTATATTCCCACTCATTATATTCGTAAATTTTGAGGTTTATCCTTCGCTTTTAAGATCATTGAATTTGATTTTTATATAAAATAGTTATATATTAGAAAATAATATGAGTTTATGTGATATTATTTTTCAGAAGATTTTGTGTTCTTCTTCAAAATTTTATTTTTATTAAAAAGAATCTTTACAAAATATACATTTACTTTAATTAATATTTAAAAACGTGCTCTATCAAAAGTTCCAAAAATTCAATATTTTAGCTTTTCTGAGGTGTCACTTTTGATGAATTTCTGTTTACAACAATAACGTTTATAACTTCTGCAATTTAACTGAAAATGCAAAAAGTAATTTTGAAAAAGCACCTAGTAGATATGCACATTTAATGACTTCTCCATTTGTTTTAGTGAAGATTCTAAAACTATATCAAAAGGAATATTATGATGAATACGTTTTACCTTTATTACGTAAGCCAAAAATAACATTTGATATAAAACTTGATGACTCGTTTTTGATAACAGATATTAGACGCAAGGCTGAAAATCATTAGTATAAAAACAGTTCTGAAGTAATTGAGGATTTATCACGTGTAATCCGTTTTGTAGATTGTGGAAATAAATATTTCATTCAGAAAGATTACAATATCCACGACAGAATGAATCAAATATCATTCGTTCTTCAATCAAACATGAAAGAGTCACTCAAAATGATTAAATTATTTAAAGAAGAAGGTAAAACCATAACAGCATGGGATATACTATTAAATCAATTATCCTCATTAACCGTTAAGGGTGTTTGCTTTAAATCTGATTCTCCAGATGTTTTCTCAACGTTTCAAGGTTATAAATACAACGTTCTCGAAAAACCAGATTACTCAAAAATTGAGATGTTTATGAATTTCATTAAAGAAGTCATTTGTGATAATAACGATGAAGTGTATAAATACCTTCTCGGCTGGATTGCATCAATGATTCAACATCCTGGAATCAAGAATGAAACAGCAATTATTTTGAAAGGACTTCAGGGAACAGGTAAAAACAGATTTACAGACATTATTTCTGAACTTCTCGCCGGTTATTCATGTAAAAACATTACTGAAATAAGTGAGCTAACGGGTAATTTCAATTCAGTAGTTGAAAATAAAATGTTTCTTGTACTTAATGAACTCAAGAATGTAGGTGAAGACAGACTCGCAAACTTCAACGCTTTGAAATCAATTATTACGGATAATGAGATTAGAATTAATGAAAAGAATCAACCCAGAAGAACTGCTCAGAATGTTGCTAATTTCATTTTCGTAACTAATAACGTCTACCCTGTCAAAATTGAAGTTGGAGACAGAAGATACGTAGTTTTAAGAGTTAATGGTAAATTTAAGGGTCAATTTGATTACTTCAAGAATTTAATGGATTCATGCACTAAGGAATTTTATGATAATTTACTGACGTATTTTATGCAATATGACATTTCATCATTTAATGTACGAATCATACCGATGACTGAAGCCAAACAAGATTTAATAGAATTATCAACAAATCCTTTAGATGAATGGATAAATACACATTATGATGAATTGTGTGCAGGTATGACGTGTAAAAATGCTCTATGCTGCAAACCATCAGACATGAAAGACAAAAACTTTCAAATGAGCATTAAGGATAAATGTGATAGGAAACAGAGAAGAATAGATGGTAAACAAACATGGTGTTATGTTTTGAAAGAAGAAATGAAAGGATTATATAAACAGGTTGAACCAAACGATAATGAGGATTCATTTACTGATGATGAAATACCTGTAAATGAAGCATTATAAAGTATGATTGGAATTTATTTTTGCATTAATCCTGCTGTGCTGTCATCATTTTTAAAAGAAGTTAATTAACCAGGTGACACATGGTGACGTGGTGACACCTTCAGTTATTCAAAAATAAATTTTCTTATAAAGCCTCAGGGTCTATTTCCTCAATCATTTCCGTTCCTTCTTCATCATATTCAATCGTTGCTTCCTCAATTACTGGTAGGAGTTTATTGATTATATCTTTATTCGTTATTGTCTTCAGAGATGAAGGATAATATTTCACAACTACTTCACCTTTCTTGTATTCTTTCTGCTGCGATAAATCTAACGATGCTGAAAAATTCAAAGTTAGAGTTCTTCATAATCGTATAATGTGTATCTTTGATATTTACAAATATTCCTTTCTGTTTAAGTAATACTGCTATTTCATGTGGTGTGTAACGTTTTCTGTCAATAATGATAGCGTATGGTTTAACGAACTGACCGTATTTAGATTCTTTCACAAACTTTTTATTGAATATAACGTTCACGTTTTTTCCATTTATGAATTCACCCTTAACAGCAGTAGCGAGAGCATTGTATGAATAGAACTTGTATTCAGACATTATTTTATTAAAATTAAAAATATAAATTATTTTAAAAAATTAAGTTTATTTTTAAATTATATTTTTTACGGAAAATATTTTTTTTATTTTCCATAAAAGATGTATAAAAAGCTATCTAGATTAGACCATGAAGAAATTAAGAAGTTATTGAAGAATGCTGACATTGAAGTTAGCAAAAGATATGCGACTAACAAATCTTCATTAGCTAAATACCTCAATGATTACAGAGGTGTAGTCACTTACGAGAAAATCAATGATTACATTAATAACAAAACATTTCCTTTAAATGATGTTCAGGTTAATTTATATCATAAACAAGCGGTACCGAAGGAAGTAAGAAAAGAAATGTATGATATGATGAATGTTGATGTAGGTGAAACGAGAAAGAAGAAAAGCGATGAAGAAAAGAAAAATATAGCTGTAAAGTATGCAAAAGCAATTGCACAATTACGCAAAGCAAACGAAGTTATTAAATCTATAGACGATAAAGCTCTTGATGACGAAAAATGGTTAAAGAAGGATGAAAATAATAAACGCAAAAATGTTAAAGCAGGAAATAGAATCATAGATTTTAACATTCGTGAACTCAATGAAGAAAACAGAAATTACCTACATGAACGTTTCGGTAAAATGTTTATTAGGCTTCTGCAGAAGATAAAAGTAAATTCACAGCAAAAATGGATGATTTGTTATAAACTCGATGGTAAATTTACTAATTCAACATTGAATATCGAGAACATCGGAGCTTTGCTTCATCAGTTAAAGCAAGAAAACTTTATAACAGAGATTGAAGCAAACGCAGCCGGAATAATTGAAAAACATTATGATTTCTTCATGACAAATATTAAGAACCTCGAAGAAATTAAAATGTATGATTTAACTGAATATGAAGGATTAACGATGAGCGATATTAAGAAAGGTAAGCCACAGAAGAGAGAAAAAAGAGATGAAAGTAAATTAACAGCACGTCAGCAAAGATTATTAAACAGACTTAAAGAAATAGGAGATAAACAGGATATAGATGATTTTTGGAATGAAATTCTTGATGAAAAGAGAACGAATAAAAAGAGAAGTGGTGAGTTTTGGAAGTATCTTTGCAGATTACCTATAAATCTTGAACGCTATCAAATTTTCAATGAACTTAACAAAAGAACTGCTAAGTTGATGACAGAAGATAACTGCTTCGTTTATGCTTGCATTCAGGCTGGAGTTGATGAGCAGACGGTAGACCACATGCGTGAAGTTATTAGAGTTAGAGATTTTCCACAAAGTAAGATTCAGGAAATTTCTAACGCAACAGGCATAGCATTTAATGTTACCATTGGTTATTTCAATGACTCTAGACATAATGAAATAAAGAGATATATACCAAAAGAATGTGAAACTGTTCGAACTATTGACTTACTTCTTGTTGAAGACCATTACATGTTAAATGAAAGATTACCTATGACAACATATTTTATCATAAATTATAACGAAATTCTCAAATCATTAGGCGGCTGGAATATTGAGCGTCAAATGAAAATATATAAGAAAAGGGAAAATAGATTTGTTATTGATTCTACGCGAACAACTCCTTTATGGGATATTTTGAAAACATTAAGAGAGTGCAATTACTTTGAACCGTTATCTTATGGTGAACTTTTCACTTATACAACAGATTTATATAAACAAAAACTTGCACCGTTTAAAGATTTAAATTATACCCCGAACTACTGTGTTCAGTTAAAGAAAAAGTCTGAAAGTAAAGATAGTGATAAATCAAAACAAAAATTCATTCCTGAACACATTTTCTTCGCTGACTTTGAATGTAGCACTGATGGAGTTCATAAAGCCTTTAACATTTGTTATGATAGTGAAGATGGAAAGATTAGCGAAAGCATTTGGGGTCAAAATTGTGCAACAAAATTTTTAGAAAGAATTCCTGATAAAAGTTTAATATATTTTCATAACCTCAGTTATGATATCA